CTGTGAATATCAAGTCTTCTTCGTATGGTTTTGCAATCCATTTATTTATTTATTTGTTTATTTATTTATTTATTGCTGTTATTCTCAACTGTTACTGAAGTAGATACTGAGAACTGAACACTTTTTTGGACAGCAACATAACCAAGGAAGTAGATTCTATCTAGGCTGAACAAATCATTATCAATGATTAATTGAATATTTGAAAGCCGCTAAATTGCGTGAGCGGCCCTACAGGATTTACATTTAAACATTTTTAGACGAATCTGGAATTTCTGTTATGTAAGATCTATTTTTATGGCGGCAAACAATGGTTCATTGAGCATCACATGTGGCAGCAGCATAACGACCAGGTGATGAGGTCAGACCGAAGAAAACTGAATCAGGACTTGGTTTCAATAGGAATTTTTTTCTTAGAACTTCCTGTTTTTATTTATCACGCATATTAAGCTGGTAGGAGGTGGAACTAGCAAATGCAGATTTTTTTGTCTCTTTCAAATAAACTATTTTCCGTGGTTCTGTATCTTAAACACGGTGATCACAGCCAGAAATCTTACTATGACCTTTACTAGTCATGGCAGTCAGGTACCTCGAGACAACATTCGTTTTTGTGCAGCTCTTATGGATCTTAACTGCCAAAATTTGACCAAAAACTTTCAGCAACCACTAGTAGATCAAGAACTATAGCACTGACCAATAACAGCAACTTAATATTACAATGTGTACTATGGTGGCTTTAAAACGAAACTCACCATCAACGCTACCGCTGACACATAAAATCCCAAGAAGCCATGAGAAAAAAAGGGCCTTCATAAGGAAGCCTGTTTTGTGCGAACAATGTAATGTTACTCTGTAGACTGTATCGACAAAGAGAAACTGTCTTCGTAACTGAGTTTCTTAAGCAAAACGTTATGAGACGCAACAGGATGTGTTTGAACGTGTCTAACATTTGCTGACGGTGATGAACTCTATTTATAGCTATTGGGTCATGCGTCGAAAAAAAAACCCTTAAGTACAGTGTCACGTCTTTAAAAATTTGAATTCACCAGTGTTATTTTCTTTAAAAATAAGGAGCGGTATATTTTATCACGAGCCAAAAAAAGGCCTACAGTACATAAACTGATAGCATGTTCTCTACCAGGCTGTTAAAGTGAAAAAAAGGGTTCCTTAGTTGAGATGCAAACTGATCCTCTGAGAGGGATTATATCCGTGGTACCAAAATGGACTTCCTACAAACGTGAACCAAACAGCCACTCCACAGATTCTACTGTGCCAGTTCACAAAAAGGTGAATGTTCAGGAAATCTTTATCGAACGACAACGGACTAAACGCACGCCATCTTGTTTTCACGTTGTAGTCATTGAGTACAAACAAATTTCATCTACCAAATCAAATTAATCACGCAGGCAATACCCTGTTGACAGACTCACACGAAATTATATACCCTGTTTAGGAAAGAGAGGACAAAAACCATACCCTGTCTAGCGGCACAACCCTGTATAGACCATATTTGGGAGTTTACCCCTGGGGGTCTTTCAGCTTGTTTTTCCTATCGCGACTTCGTGGTTCAAACAAGTTGACATGTGGACAAGTCTTAAGTGAGAGCAGAGCCGAAACTCAATATGCCTGGCCACGTTGTTATTGTCGTTTTTTTCTTTAATTAGATACATTTTTCCTTGTTGGCATGGGCCCTTCCAGCACTCAAATCTCGCTCCGACCGTGACGAGGCCAATCACTAAGGGACGGACCATTAGAAAAGTTATGGGGGTGGAGGGAAATTTTCGAGCCGCAGGAACTTTTTTTCGTTATCAAATTCCTTGTATGAATTTTTTTAAGGCCGTAGCATGAATATTTTTTAGGGTTAATTGGCGTGCAAGAATTTTTTCATTTAATTTTCCCTTGCGCGAATTTTTTTTTGTACTTCGCCCCCCCCCCCCCCCCCCCCCCCCCCCCCCCCCCCTCTCTTTTTATTTCCGCCCCCCCCCCCACCACCTCTTCCCCCCCCCCCCCCCCCAAAACGCAACCCACATCAACAAAAAACTCTTATAAATAAATTTTTTATTGGGAGGGGCGAAGACGGACTAGTTTTTACATATACAATCAAAAAAACTTCTTCTATCCTCTCTACTCTACACAACCCCCTCGCCACGTATTATAAATCATTCCCCCCCCCCCCCCCCCCCCCCCCCCCTCCATAAGTTTTCTAATGGTCCGTCCCTAAGCCAAAGCTTTCTCGACCCCTGAACCTGCCAAAGATTCGACAGACTTAACATATCAGTTGACTGAAAATATTTTATCGCAGGGTCGGAAGATCATGCGGAATTTCCATTAATGAACCTCAAATCTCCTTATTATCCCCTTACATTCCTAAAAACTCGCTCGGGATAAGGTTACTAAGAAAAGATTACTTTTAGCTTTTTCAATGTGTGAGGTAGAAGGGAAGTCAAGCTCAGTAAAACGTAGAAAGAAAAAATAAAACAGCAAAAACAGCGGGAACATCATCTGTTAGTGGGTACAGTTAGAGTGATAATATACAAAAATCCGCTTCACGTGGAGCTCTAACATGGAAACAATTTCCTTCAAAATTTGAAGCGGCCAACAGACCAACAATCGTCAAAGCGGGAATATAAGGTGGCCAATATACTGATCTGACAAGGAATTTGATCAGGGAAAGTAAATGTTTTTGTAGGTAATCTTTCAAAAAGGTCAAGAGCTGCTTGCTAGGTCTCCTGCCTTGAATAAACCTAAAGATGATATCGCAGTTGTAGACGCAGCCCTGGCCCGGCCTAGCAGTTGCGTAAAGAAAGCTTTTTATGGATGATATGAACCCTTGATATCTGTGACACGAGAGCTAAACAAATTGAGGGGATAGAGCTAACGAGCCAACTATTATCATTGAGTTGATTCGAAGACGAATAACGGATAAGGTTTATACCATTGTTAGTTTAATTATTGGTAATGTAGAAAGATCAAGGTGTCTTATTTTACATCGGTTCGGCTGGGCACAGCTCTCAACTGAGTTTTGGGCGCCGTAATTGTGCTTTAATTTCTCCAGACACTTGCTTTAGATTTTCCATATTATTTGTCTGCAATTTTTCCAGAAAATTTTAGTCGGCGGGGATAGAAATTTTCCCGTACAAATGTACAGAAAATTTTAAAAAGTGATTCTAGCGCAAGTAGCTGCAGTGTAACGCCCTCAAATTTTTTCAGCAGAACCGTAAGGAGTGAAGCCCAGAACAGCCGTTTTACGGAAATTATTCGACATTAGCTTCTCATCAAACGCTGTATGTTGTCACGCTGTTGCCTACTCGTCAATTAATATCAAATGGCTTCCAAGACCTTGACAAGGTCTATTCTTTTCAGATTTCCGTTTAATTTTTTGGTTCAGGGGATAAATCAAACGTAGTTGCAGTTACACATCAGGAAGAGTCCTTGTGACAATTCTTTAAACTGTGAGTTCAGTGATTATCAAAAACTCCCCAGAATATAGGAACGTCGGATCTCCATGCACTTTCCACAAACCACTAAGGTGCTTACACAGGCTAGTGCAGAAAATACTGTTGAACTTTTATGTGGCAAATTACTTCCACAGAGACGACCACGTGTTTCTCAGTGTGAATGTCGGTCGCCGTCGGCACGGGAAATACTCAGTTTGCCAGATTATAGGAGGAGGGTACGCGAAAACAACTACATTTTTGAATTTTGAATGATCCCTGGAATTTAGTTTAGTGGCAAAATGCGACGCGCGTTTCATTAAAAAATCAGCCAGTTAAAAAGTGATGTAAGATCTTGTCGGTGTAAGCATTTCAGTCTCAAACAAGCGCCAGGTCTGGGGAGGGGGGGTCCGCATCCCCCGGATTCTCCCCCTGGATCCGACACTGCACCAAAGGGACTTTTATCGTGTTTAAAAAGCTTTTTTTCGTATGCAAGTTGTTTGTATCTCGATTGTGAGTTGCACTTGAATTGGTACGTCATTAAAGGCAGTTTAGGATATAAAGAATCCGCAAGCTATAATGAATTTCAGGATTCACACCTTAGAAATGTTTGCTCTGGAGTTCCCGACCCAGAAAAACGAAGGCTAATACCAGATCATCCGATAATTAATTTCCTGCCTATTTCATTATGATCTAATTGATATTTTTATATCCTTTAATTTGGCAAAGAGGTATTTCGCTAATGACATTGGCGGAAATAATTACAAAGTAATCTATGGAAAGCACCTTCCTTTTATATTCTAGTTCACCAGAAATGTTCTGAATAGGGCGGGTTTGCCAATATATGAGTGTTTTTGTACCGCGGATTCACGATATAAAAGGATATTTGTATCAAAAAAGAAAACATAAAGTTTGTTTTTGTTTTCCAAAGAAATCAAAGATAATGAATACTTTTACAAAGTTATAGTGAAGGAAGTATGATGTAAAATACTCCACTTTCAAATGTTCTTGACTTCAACTGGTGATGAAAACGGCGAAAAGTGGAAAGGCTCTTTGTAGGAATGCTCCTGCTTTGCTTTTCATCTCAATAACATTGAATCATCTTTGTTTTACAATATGCGTGATGATAATATCATCTTGTTATTCAGGAAGCTTCCAAGGTTATCGCTGGATAAAAGAATGAGATTCTCGTGACGATTTTGTTACAGATCATTAATAAATATCGATTTAAGATAATCAGCGGTTTGCCTTTGAGTTCTTCACTCTGTCTATACTTCGCCTGCACTGTCATGACATTTCATTGCAAAGTGGAGAAACTGTTTTAGCTTTTTTGTGCGTGAGGCGCCTTATAGTTTAACAACTAATCCGCTAAATGAACACGCCTGGTTGATTATTTAAATACCGAAAAACTATCAGCAACAAATTGCAATCTCATTTGATATTTTAAGCACCTTTATAGGGTGTAATTATTATTTAAGTTGGCGCCATTAATCAAGCGTTTCATTCAAGACTTCAAGTAAAATAGAGTGACATATTTATTGCCGACCTTGCCAGGTTTTAATCTTTGAAATGAGCTCTTCAGCTGTTGCTCTAGTTTTATCTCTTTCCTTGTTCGCATTATCCAAAGGGTTAACTGAAGAGGCTGAGAAGGAATTTGCCTCTGGTTTGCTTAACGTATTGGACATGGAACAGGCGCCTAATATATCCAACCATCGCCATGACATTCCTCGATACGTCTTGAATCTTTACAGAGGCAAGCTCCCAAAACTGTCTGACGTCGGCAGAGATGCTTCGTTAGGCAGCACTACAAGAATATACTTTCCACAAGGTAACACTGCCGGATATTGCAAATCCTTTAAAGCGTTTAAGGCATTAAATAGATTGTAATGATCCACATGAGGTGCCAACAATTCTATTTCTTGATAATATGTGTTAGCAGGTATAATGTGTTTGTTTGCATTCATGATTGATTTTAAACAGATCTTGGCAAGAGCGAAAGGAGAGTTATCCTTTGGTTTAAATTATCCTGGGGTGGTGTAAGAAGGTCCCACAGAGTACGAAAGGCTGAGTTACATCTTCAAGTGCATTCGGCAGGTTTAGGAACAGTTAAGGTCAGCATTCCTCGCAAGGGGCGGTCTTTGAAGCTAGGAGTTACTGCAGCCACGAAATACTATACCACAACAGTGTCTCCAGGTGTTCATAAATTAACCCAAGGCAGATGGCTGGTAATAAATCTCACTAAAGCTTTGCCTGTTAAGGTCAGGAAAGACATAAAAGATTTACAAGTTATAATTACGACCACTCATCTGCTTAGAATTGCTACAAAAGGGAAAAGAGAACCGTTCCTTGTTGTTTTGACGGATTCGATTGAATCATCAAGTAAGTTTCATCAAATTCTGCCAATGATGATAAGTCAACGTGATGAAGAAAACACAACTGGCAACTTTGACACAACACAGATGCAGGTAAACATTAGAAGAACAAAGCGCTCGGACATCAACTTCTGTCAAAAACGTCGATTATCTGTCCGATTCCGCGACCTGAAATGGGATGATTGGATCATCGCTCCAACACGATTTGGATTCCACTACTGTGACGGTCATTGTCCACGAACTCTGAGCCAGCAATCAAACCCGACTAATCACGCAATTCTACAGAACATTCTGCACCATCGGCTCAGTAAGAAGATCCCTGCGGCCACATGTGTTCCAACTGAACTGCACTCCATAAGCCTGCTCTACTATGAAAAAGATGACTCGATCGTCCTGAAGGACGTGCCTGGTATGGTGGCATCTAACTGCGGCTGTCGTTAACAAGATTGCCATTAAATATAGTCTAAACGACCACATCTAAGCAAGCTAGAATAGCTTTTATACCAAGAAAGTAGAAAATGAAAGATGGTAAATATTCTTGCCAAAAAAAAAAACACATTAACGTCTCTAATGAATTTTTTTGTGCTGTTTCTCAGATGAACTTTCACACAAAGTGGAAATGGACGAACACCTTAATTGCCACTTGTCCGCCTGAGGCCAGTTTAAATACCGTGTTTATTTGTGTCGGGAGGCTTGACTTAAGTGTTGTAGTGTAGTGAGTGAGGTGTCTTCCTATAACGAGTGTCGGTTAGGTTTGACTGTACAGATAATGAACATTTTTTGTAGGTCCGTCACTAAAAGAAGCTTCTAATCCAAAACGATTGTTCGCACTACGAACAAGATCGACTTGACCCAAGATAACCTGACTATAATATGGCGTTACAGATGAAATAGCCTGTTTCGGAAGAAACGCTGAGTATTTTGGCATATAATAAAGTTTAGCCTGCGAACCTCAGACCGAAAAAAACCAGATGCTCTCGCATTATTTATCGGAGTCCATATTGGACTGGTTGTAGAAAGACATATTTTCAATTCCTGTGGAATATATGAAAATTATAAATTCCCAACAACAGCTTCATCTAATGACGTTTGATACAGAGGTGGATGGTGCTCAATTTAGTTTTCGTTTGACATAAAGTACAAGCATATTTCAGAGCAATTTTTGGGACTCCAAGACACGTATGTTGTATTCGTCGGTAACGCTTTTAAATTAAAAAGAAAAAAATCTAGAATGCTGTTTACTCTTTATTGTAAATTACAATACCACCTGCTTCAGAACACTTATACTGCTAATATCGAAATGAAGTCCATCCGAAAGTTGTGTTCTAGACAAATTCCTAAGTAAGCTTCTTAAACTTCCAAGCCCATATATCTCAGATGTGATCGATATGTGTTACCATTAACCACAACCTTGGCGTGGGTATATTTTCTGTCGAAATTTATCCTGTGATGACGTGGAGGCAAGGAACGCAGCTAACAACGATAGACCACCATCTCGAACGTAATCGAGTAGTGCGCAAGTTCTTGAATTTTTCACAAAAAACAAATTACTCTCAAAACTTCAGTCTGGATTGCACGGATTTATGACTCAGAAACATGGACAAAGGCCTATTAACTAATAACGTCTTCATTGATCTTCTTGGCATTAATAGTTTGGACCACGCAACAGTTTCCACGGCAAATTTCTAAATTGGTTAGAGTCGTACCTCACAAACAGGCGACGGCAGTGTTCTGTTAATGGTGTCTCGTCTGATAGGGAATATATAAGTTGTGTTATTCCACAGGGATAAATCTTAGGTCCCTTACTATTCTTAAATTTCGTCAACAATTTTTCACAATTACCTGCAGCATACTACCCCGCGTATGTTTGTAGATGATATTTACACAACAATAACTGATTGAAGTACCAGCGACATTGAACTTAACCTAAAGAGCGACCTAGAAGCAATTGAGAAATAGGGTTGGCTGCAACCGGCACTGCGACAACATTAAGGACTCAAGAATAATAATAGCCTTTTTTCGATCACTAGTGCAGCCGAACTTCGACTATCAAAGCCTTGTGTGGGCTAATTGCACAAAAACACGAGCAGATCAATTGAAGAATCCCAAAAACAGAAAGCAACACATTGCAAAAGGGGACTATTCCGTAAGATCATGTGATATTCTAGAAAACCTATGTTGGCCAACGATGTACGATGGCGGGATGGAAAATGCCAATTAATTATCATGATGTATTAAAAAGGAGGATAAATTTCATCATGCGGCTGTACCTGAGTACTTATTAAACTGAGGCTTTTTCGGCTCACCTGTGAAGTGCATAATTACAGCCTCAGGCTAGCTATTCGACATGCAGTTGCCCAAACCCTATAAAACAATTGTAAGTTGAAATTATTACCGTGTATGAATAAAGTTAATTCAGTGAAAGGTTTGAACCCAGGAGTCATTTCAAAAGAAGGTTGGGTTTGATCGTCCGGGTAAACGTAGTCTTGAATAGGACTGTTGTTGTTGACAGTGACTGACGTTTCGACAACCTGTGCGCCGGTATGTCATCTTCAGAGTCAAAGTGAGTTGTTTCACGTCGGTTGGTGATATTATACTCAGGTTATTGACCTGATTGGTCAATTACGTCGCGACGTTATTAGTCGTCTGTCAGTTAAGCAGCGATGTTGGTGCGTTTCGATCCGTCTGCTGTCAAAGTTAAACAGTCGTCTATTGTTAGTCAAATTGTCAGTTATCCAGTAGTTCCCTCGTAGTTAGTTCCGCTTGATTTCATCAATGAGTCGTTTGTACGGTGCCGGTAACTGTTGACTACGATTCAGTGGCGTTTGTTCTAAGTTAGTAAACCAGCTTTCTAACGTGTGTTGTTGATAGTAGTCTGTAGAATACGTTATACATGTCGCAGAGTTCCAGTCGATTTGATGTTTCGTCTGTAACTGGTGTTCAGCAATGTGACTGTTGACCTCACCATTTCTCGTCGCTTAGGCACCTGCTAAGGTTTCTGCCGGTTTCACCAATGTAAGTAGTCTAGCAGTCGCAGCATTTGATCTTAATTCGTTCATTCACTTCATTAACTACCCACACATGATATGAAAGACGTTCAAATTTGTCATATTTCCTTTGTTTTGTCAGGCAAATACGATGAGAATATGGAGGGGAACAACAGACCACTTTGGATACATGAAAATTCACACTTGGCTCCGAGGCTTGAGAGAATAAAGCGAAAGAAAGAATTAATTTTTATTTTTTTTAGTTCTACTCAACCCCCCCCCCCCCTCCCCCAAAGCCTCCAATTTTAGTATATCGAAGTTGGTCTATTCTGAACAGCCGAAATTTCGCCACTCACTACTGGTTTCCCTGCGAAATGACGTATGAGAGACGACGGCAGAAATTCCATACCAATGATGCTTCACTACCCAGATCGGGTAGCACTTGATTGGTCGAATCAAATTTCCCACACGACACGACCGTTTAGAAGCACTACCCTTAGCACTACCCTTAGCACTACCCTTAGCACTACCCTTAGCACTACCCTTAGCACTACCCAGATCTGTTAAGTGACGCGTCATCAGCATATTCAATTTCTACACTCGTTTCTCAGACGTCATTTCGCGGGGAAACCATTGGTGGTTAATGTCGGCTGTTTTGTCAGGGTACTATTCTGCTTCACCTAACTGAGCGCCTGGTAGCAAAAGCCCTCTCTTTTGTATGCTGTACTACAATTGATTTTTACGTCTACAAGTCTTCAAAAAACACCTGGAACCCATTCAGATACATAACACAAATGAGTTATATAATATGAGGACAGTGAGCAATTCAGTTCAAATTAAATATGGTCTATTCGTTTATTTTAACGATGACATCATTCGCTACATGATCCCTTTTTTAGAAGGTTCGGTGCCTTCGATAAATAATTGACATTAAAATGTTCCATTTTTCTCAAGATAGCAATACAGTAAAAACCCGCGAGAAAGAACCTGCATTTTCCCAAGTTAGCCTAAAAAGATTTTACATAAATGGATATCAACACAAGAATTAAGGCTACTCAGGTTCTTAAATAGGTTCTTATTTTCTATAGAAAAAATTTATCGTAGCTGAGAGTATTTAGTGGTATTCAGCTTATTCCTTTTACAAAATCTACATACTATTACATTGTAGTTGGAGTGACAGGGCACCTACGTCTCCAAAGAGGTTTCAGAATGTTGGCTTATCTTATTTGCCCATGGGTGTAGTTTTTTCAAATAGATTTTAGGGAATAAGAACCCGTTTCAAACTTTGTGCTAAACAGGTTGTTGTATAGGGTATAGGCCTAACTTGCAAATTTTAGCCCAACAGGTTCTTACAAACCAGGTTCTTACTTGCAGGTTTTTACGGTTCCTAAAATGAATTCATTAAACCTAAAAAGAAATTGCTTAAGTTGAGAAAACTACTTGCGTACAAAAGTAATATTTGACCCCTTACAGCAGCCGTAAAAGCTACTTAAAAACATCAGAATCTAAGACTAAATTCACAAGCTTCTACTTAAAATTATTACACTCAGGATTCTTTTAACTTAATAAACATGTCATGAGTTAAAAACGAAACAACCAAAATAATATATACAGCGAGACAGGGATTGTTTCAAGGTGTCATAAAAATTATATTCGCGGAAACGTCCAGCAAAAAGGATATATATCAAAAAGTTCCAGTAATATCTATTTAGCAAAGAAGCCTCGTTTTAACTCTCAGCAAGACTTTTCAATTAAGGTTCGCAGAACAACAGCATGATTAGTATAAAGACAAAATAAATATTTTTTTCTAAATCAAACGACTCAGTAACTTCTAATATAACAAACATTGATTAATGCTCACCTCATATCTATCTTTCATAGAAAGGTGTGGAATTAAAAAAAATGACCTCTTATGTTGCTCTAAGAATGTTAGCAGTTTTCCATTTTACGTCCAGGCTACAGATGGAAAGTACAAATAAAGTAAAAAATTACATATTTCTTACACTCAGATTACCATGAACAGTTTAACATTTTTCTTTTCCAGATGAGAGGCAAGATTTTTTAGGCGACGGATTCGCAAGCATCCTGGTTTTCCAGCGTTAAAAACGCGATACAAATGAAGCGCTTCTTTTTTCTCCAACGCAAACCGCAACTCTGGAACAGAAATTTCAAAAAATTCCTTCTGATCAGAGGACGTCGTCTTGACCTCGATATAGGTGATAACGGTCTTAGATTCGGCCTCTTGGTTTACTCCGGTAATATGTCGTCGAATCTCAATATCGTAAGGTGCAGTAGTGTTAGCTTCCTCGTTCAACCAAATAATATCCACATTTTCAGCTGAAGGAAAGACTTTGACTTGCTTGAGAAGAAACTCATAAACACATCCTTCTCCCCATCGACCGACTTCTTCGCTGTTTGGGTTCTCACCAAGTTGTATACCATTCAAGACTTTAAGGTCGCCATCATTCAAGGAGAGATCATCGTAGTCTATTTCGGTTGCCTCTTCGTTGAAACTGAGATAAGCGCGAGGGGGTGAGGTTTGCCTTGCATCACATGCGGGGACTGGCAGGGTACAGATCCGTTCAGGATTTGGTGGAGATTGTGCTCCCAAAGGCAACACATCCTGCACACTTTCCGTTTTTTCATCACAAAGCGAATCGTTTGCAACTCTTTCTAAAGTAACATCATTACCTTTCACAGGATTTGGATCATTCAGTGAGGAAGTTTGATAATTCTCTTCCCTCTTTGCTGCTTCCATGATTAGAGTCTTACTGTTTCGCCGAGGCATGACCTCCGTCCTGTCATCTGGTTCTCTCGTACCTTCTCGATCGTTTGGTCTTTCCGTATCAACTAAAGGCTGAATTGGTCGTCCTTGGATTTGGACTTTCTCCTCCAAAGATTTCTTCACAGAATCAGGAGGCGCTGGGGGTGGCCACATCTTAAGAGTACTGTCGCTATTCAATTCTGCTTCACGCTTTAAGGTCTTGTCAAATTGTGCGGAGGACTTTGGAGGCCAGGAATGAAGACCATCATCGCCAACTCGGTTTGGCAATGAAATATTTGCGTTAAGACTCGGAACTACGTCTTTCGAAGCTTCTTGTACAACTTCTTCCAGTACTTGAGGAGGGGGCACACACCAAGGTTCTTCTTCATCGGGTAAAGGTTCTAAGCCTTGGACTTCTTCTAAAAAGAACTCAAAGTCGCCACCACTGTAATTCTTCACAGCAACCAGGAAGTTTCTGAGGTCCGAGGAGTCCTGCCTCTTCACTCGTAGCAGTTTCACCATTTCACCATTCAAGACATCATAATTTTCCTGGTGCTCTTCTGCTACATAAAAACAGAAGCTGGAACCCACAGGCTGGACTCCAGACTTTTCTTCAATTACAATATGAATATCGGGGTGAGTACTAAGTGAATAAACTGTTTCCAGTTTTCCCACCGAAGCAAACTGCATTTGTTGCAGTTTTTCTGCGAATTTCTCATTTTTCAGTTCTTCATACACTGGTTGTTTTTTGAAATACAGAAAACGTTGCACCGGTGGTATCATCTGATGAATATACTTCTGTAGAGGCACACATTGGTACTTTACTAATGTGGGGGTAAAATCTCTCTTTACGCATTCACTTAACCGCTGTATGTCACAAGCTTTCAAAAACAGGAAAACATTGTGCTTCATTTCTTCTTTTTCGTTCACAAACTTACGATTTTCCACGGTGGAACGCTTCCTTGGATCTTGAAAAAAATCGCCGAGGTCGATGAAGTGAACGCCACTTTCCTTCTGAAAAATTTTGCCGAGAGACTTGTTGTCGAGTAGAAGAGGCTTATCTGAAAGTGAAACCCATTTCCCCGAAGAAGGAAAAATGCATTTGAGACTGGTATCCAAGGACTGTCTGATAAACGACGCCATATTTACGTCAACTTCGCTTTCTATAGGTACGCTATCTCTGTGGCCACGTGCAATACATTTCCTACCTAAAATGGCAAATACTTTCAACATGTCATTCAACGGCAACGGAGAAGGCAAACCAGCAAGTTCAGCAACAGTTGATGCCATCTCAAGGTACTCATCCACATTGGGTGTTTCGTCCACTTTGAGTTGATCGACGAAGAAAGTTGCAAGACTTTGCTGGCCAGAAGCCTTGGACAAACTGTGGTAAAATCCCTCCAGCAGATGCTTTGTTGTTACTTTGCCGTGGTCCCTGAGTAGCTTTAAAGCTACCTCAGTCGGGTCTCGCCAGCAGACATCCTTCAAAACGTGAAACGAGCCAGGTAACTTATGCTTTAGTTGAGGTTTAATGCATGAAGTCGACGCCGACCGAAACGGGACAAACACCAATGCATTTTTAAGAAATGCATCGCACACTTTCTTTCTCTGTTCCTCGTTTTGCACCATTTTGTTGTACAAGAAAGAGTAGACTTCACTCATGTGTGCCAGTGATGTGGTAAACTCTTTTGTTGGGGATTCTTTGTTAGTTACGCTTGAAGCAGTGGACCACTTCTTCATCTCGCTTATCATACCATCCACATTAACTGATTCATGAATTTGCAAGGTCTTAACAAATCTACTGTTTTTTAAATCAGCCGCTAAATACTTCACGTGATCCTCCAGTAGCCTGCCAACCGCTTCATTCCAGATGAAAAGGTCTCTCGGTATGTAAATTGTTTGCCCATCGCTGGCTGACATCCATGGATTCAAAACAAGATTTAAATAGAAGGATGAACGAGTTTCTCCGAGAATATGGTCATTGCTATCTTTGACGCGTACCAAGGCATCTGCGTACTGTGAATACTCGCTATCCCAGCGTTCGTCGATCCACTGCGCCAGAATAGTGGATTGACGATAGATGCTTTGACGGTCAGCAGTCGGTTCAGCAATCTTGCTCAGAAATTCTTCAAATTCTTCGCAAGCGCAGTCCTCGACGACGTAACAACCGTCTGGAGTTGTTTGCCAAACTGCTTCGTTGGACGCCCAGGGAGTTTGTGCCTAAAAAGGTGGAAAAGGGTGAGAATGATCTCCTACCAATGAAAAGTATGAAGTAAAATTTGATTTCCTTGACTCCTACTTTACAATAAAAACCGTAGTCAAGCATTTTGCAAAATTACTTACCAGTTATCACTGAAGTGAGTCGATTTCAGATTATGATAGCTTTGAAAGTGGTTTCCAAAATTACATATTATATAAGAAATCAAGTAATAAGCCTTAGTCTCTATGTGTTAAGGATATTGAAGTGCTCCACGATTAAATTAACCCTACCCGGCCATACAAGTCAAGCAATGCGATCGGGTGGCATACCTTGAAATATTCTATGAGTGACTTATCCTTTTAAGTATGAATACACACGAGCTTTTAGACGTATTTTGGTGGCTGTAATCTCTATGGCATGGGGTAATAATACATATACTTTTCCTTTTTTGTGATTAAGTCCGACGGTCAGGAAATATCGAACATCGAGTGGCACGAGTTGAAAAAATCGATTTCTTTCACTTTTTTCGTCCAAATATAGCTTTTAGGTAGATAAGTAATCTGATATAAATTTTTCTCCCAAAAAGCCTTTTATTGTCGAGAAAAGTAAGAATATCCGTTTCCGTGGTCGGAGGCTCAAATTGGCCTTACTTTCAACTGTTTATTAATTATTCCAAATTTTACAGCAAGCAATATCCACTGCCCGTACTTAGCAGATTAGCAAGTCGAGGCGAGCAGTGGTTACACTACATTATTTATATACAAATAGCTCACAAGCAAGACTAGAGAAAAGGGTAAAAAATGTTAACTAAATAAAAAATAAATTCAATTCAATTAAGTTTACAATCATGTATATTGCAAATAGAAGAAGCCGAGTTTTCAGGAATTTTTTGTTATTAAGTCGGGTCAAGAGATCATAATCCTATTATGGCTCTTGGTCGGGTAAATCAATATAATCATTTTCTTCTGAAATTATTCGGAGTGAAGTGTCGTCAACATTGATTTTAAAATTATTTTTGGACATTTGACGTATTTCATATGGTAGACTATTTCAGATTTTTTACACCATATCTTGAAAAAGACTTTGTTTGTGTAATCTTGAGTGTTTCACGTCATAATCATCTCTTGAAGATGATCCTGTACTATACGAATGAATATTAGGTTGGGAAGCAAATAAGTTAGGTGTGTTAGTAGGTGTAAAGCTGTTAGATATATCATGCATTAGAATAGTCAGTAGAAAAAGTAGCAAAGTCAGTAGAGTAGATCTAAAGGAAGAAAGCTAGAGGAGACAAAATAAGGTACTGCATGAGAATTGTAATCACCGAAGAACTTGAGGCGGAGGGCGTGTTTTAGAAGTATAAGAATTTTGTTTTTGTACAGTTTTAGCAGCTTAGTCCCCAGTGACTATGCCATACAATAAGTAGGGCTGGATAAGAGATATGTATATGTGGTGTAAAGTATTCAGGGGTACAAAGTGTAATATAATAATTTGAAGCGACGTGGGCGATATGGTATTTCCAGGAAAGAGTTTCATTGACAAGAACGCTCTTACAACGAGTCTCAATTTCGCTTGCTTGGAGATTAGATCGAGAAAAGAGGACGCGATTAATTCTACACGAAACAGCATTTACTCGCTGAGGGTTCTTTACTTCCTACTTGATCGACGTCGACACTTTTTATTTGTTTCTGAATTGATTTAGTACGCGTGCGACGACCGGAAATACGTCTGCGGTCGCAGGCTATAGCGTGTATAAATACACGAAAATTCAACGGCCTCGATTCCAGAGAAATTACATCATTGCCAGAGATCAAAAAAGTGATTTACATGGCAAGTCATTTCAATCATCGCCAAAAATAAGCCGCATGCTCATCAAAAGACCCATTTGCATACAGTGAAAATTTACAACACCCGACCATCGCAATTTTGCTAATTAAGATTTATATCTTTTTTTCGACCACTCAGTAGTGTTCACTTGTTCCAAAGTAATCAACGCTTTCAAGCGATAGAATTCGTGGACCGACACGTTTCGGAAAAGCTCTACATTTAATATTTCCTAAGCTTTCTTCGCAAAACATGCGTGGCTTCAGTCACGCAACGATTCTTAGTTCCAGTTTGCACTGTCTCCGCCAGGAATGCCTAGCACAATGTCTCCCCTTTTGTGTCCTAAATGCGAAGAAAAACGCATTGCAGATTATGAGTCTCGCTGCTTACGCAAGCGAGACTAATAAGTACACCTAGATATTTAAAATGATTGTTGCATTCTAAAGAAATGTACGAGTTGTTATGATGGTCAAATACTTTCAAGTTGACTTGGCGATTTAACTTTTTTTGTTTGGTCTAGAAACGACAAAGTCAGATTTCTTTATATTTAGCGATAATTTATTTGCGATCAGCCAATTATAAACCCTAGAAATTTCTGCATTAAATATAGATTCAAGCGATTTGAGATCTTTGTCAGCAGATACCAAATTGGTATTATCAGCAAATAAGTAGAACTTCAATTTATCAGAGCTGCTAGGTATATCACTTATGTAAATAAAGAAATTTGGACGCTTTCCATCAACTTTTTTCTTCACTAGAAGATACTTCCAAAGCATTAGCGAGACTCGCTGAACTGGCATAACTAATAGTAGTTGCTTTCAGCGGCATTATTCTTCATGTGGTATCACTCCAAATTTTCTTAGCTCTCGCCTTATCACACATTTAGACATTCATTTAAAACATACCTGAGAATTGGCTTGGGTTCTTGAAGGCAACCTCCAAATGGAAGCATCCAAGTCCGGCAAATATAGTGAAGCGTGACCAAAATAACTTATTTAAAGGCTCCAAGTTTCTTCGTTTCGAAATATAACAAAGCAAAAATCTTCTTTCTCCGTCATCCTTAGCGAATTACCGCTGTGGAAGGCCTTATTTCTCTACAAAAAGTGAGTACCATAACGCTAGCGCGTTTAATTTTTCTTATTCAAAATACTGTCGGCGTAGAAATGTTACGTTTCCAAGAATTGCATTGCGTTACTACCGTGACTCCGTGACTGTCATTTTGAAGGCACCGACTCGGTGTCTGCGTCAATTCAATTACAGGTGTACGTACGTTTTGTCAGGTGCAGTCAGGGAACAGATTGTCACGCAGAGTCGCCTGCTGGTTGAGTTCAGTGATTCAAAATGGCTAAAATTGACCCAGTTTGACCTTTTTACCTAAAGCAACTTTGCAATGGGGAAACCTACAAGAAGTACAAAAAACGAACCTTTAGGGTTCAAATATATACTTTTGTGCGTTTCGAAATTTGTAGTGTTTACACAATTACCGCTGGCCTACCATGAAACTTTCTGAACTTCGCGGCGTCTTACAGAGATTTCCTTCAACAACCCAAACCAATTTCCAGGTATTTTCTAGATGAATGTCTAAATAAGTGATTTGAAAATAGCACGAAGAGAGTTTGAAGATGTACCACTTGTTACAAATTGCTGTCGAAAACGAGTAACGAAATAAGTTATTGTTATCATTAAAACCTATCCCTCATTTTCGAATTATTTCAGTACGACGAGCCTCGCAATTGCCCTGCAAGTATCTTCTAGTGAAAGAAAAACAATCGTTCTGTTCATTGAAAGTTTCCAAATTTCTCCATGCGGCTTTGTTTGCGAACGCAAAGAAATTCGATGTTAGCGAATTTCAGGTTAAAAATTGGGCAATTTGGAGACTCAGACATCAAAAACCGATTTTCTAACTTTTCCAAAAAATAAAACGCTTTTGGCGGGAACAATCTACATCAGGTTTCTTATGTACCTAATAGAAATTAAGATTTTGCTCGATTTTTCCTCACCGTCACTCTTAAAAGATGAGACAAAAGATATCCACTTAATATCTCTCCCTAGTTTTAACCGGGTGTAACAGGAATCTCACCATGTTGTTTCTGTGAAGTTTCACTTGCTTCCTTTTAATGGCAAGACAATGTTGAACTCCAAGCTCAGAGAGGAAAGCTTTCCAGTCGATGATACGAGCTTTAGATCCTGTACATGAGTCCAAGTATGATTCGTCGATAAGAGTCCAGGAAATACCTGTAAATTAACGTACATAAACATTTCTACGGCCACAAAGCGACGTTTCAAAAGAACAAGTGAAAATTTCTTTACCACCGTTTTTCACATTTAAGAGAAAATGAAATTCAACTAGATAGAGAAGAAGTAATGGTGATGCAACAACAATTCCATAATTCCATGCCATAAATTGGTAAACAAGGTAAGAAAGATAAAAGATTAAAGAAATCGAAATGACTGATCAAAAAGGGAAATAGAAAAAAATTCTTACTGGAAAGCTGACGAGCAAGATCAATGGTGTTTCCAAACTTTTTTGTAAAGTAAATGGAATTATTGGTTGGGTTAACAGGGCCCTTGTTGGTCCAAATCTGCACACATGATCTCAGTTCATTGATGTCACACACTGAGGGATCACTCAAACGCTGCTCAAGGATGTAAACAAGATAGCTTCTCAAGACTTCCTTCGCCTTCGTCTGCAAAGCACCAAAGTTCAAAACATTAGATGACCACCATGGCGGATTTGCTGTTATAACATTACAGAGCGGGATTGATAATCGGATAGTACACCATTTTCACTTTCAGAACAACCACTTACTGTCTTTGCGAAACTAAGTTATGGGAAGCTAGCTTTTGAAAAGGCAGAGGGTCGTAAGGCAGACAACGGACAGGGGGATACGCCGCATCGCCGAAGGGGAGGTGGAAGGATCAAAAATTATAACGCGGCTAGAAGTTCTTAATAGTGGTGGGGCATTGTTAACTCACATGCTACAGTACCTACTTTAGTTGAGGGCCCAACCATGATTTGCGATGCAAAGGACAAAACAGAATTACTGAATGAGTTCTTTTGTTCCTGCTGATTTTGATTATATTCTAACTTCTCGAATTTTGTCGAATGTTGTAACTTCTGAACGGGAAATTAACGTTTTACTCAGCAGTGTCAACATTAACAAAGCATTTGGTCCTGATGGTATAATTAACAAAATGATTAAAATTTGTGATGACGGCATAACAAAGGTTTTTACGACCGGAGCATTTCCTGATGATTGGAAACAAGCTAATGTCACTCCAATATTCAAAAAGGAGGACCGTTAAATGAAATCAAATTATCGTCCTGTTTCAATATTAAGTGCCTTTTCTAAAATAATTGAAAAGGTCGTGTTTACCAGATTGTACAATTTCCTGTTGGATATTAATTTTCTTAATCCGCTGCAGTCAGGTTTTCGTCCAGGGGATTCAACAGTCAGTCAGTTGGTTTACATAGTACACAAAATTAACGAAGCATTCAAACGCGGCAAAGAAGTCAGAATGGTTTATCTTGATATTAGCAAAGCTTTCGATAGAGTGTGGTACAAGGGTCTTCTGTTCAAATTGAAATCAATCGGCAACAGAGACCCTCTTCTAGATTGGCTAACGAATTAGCCCTCTCATCGCAAGCAACGAGTGGTTATTGATGGACAGTCGTCGAACTGAAGCAATGTCTCCGCTGATGTACCTCAAGGATCTGTGCTTGGTCCATTGTTATTCTTAATTTATATTAACGACGTTACCGAGAAACTTAAATCTGATTGCCTTTTGCTGATGACACCTCTCTTTTTGACATTGTAGATGACGCAATCACTTCTTCGCTAAAACTTAATAATGATACTTCTGAGATCAAAGACTGGGCTCGGAAATGGCTTGTTACTATCAACCCCACGAAGACTGATTGTATGACCTTCTCAGTAACACGAATGAAGCCACTTCACCCGAATTTACTTTACAGTGACGCAAAAATTATCGAAGTCTCACAAAATACGCATCTAGGTGTTGTTCTTTGCAACAACCTTTCTTGGAGAGCCCATATCTTTAAGATTTATGAGAAAGCCTCTAAGAGACTTAATAAGCTGAAAGGTATAGAGTAAAAGGTTGAGAGGACTACTTGGCGCGTCCTCTACTGGAATACGCGGATGTGTTATGGGATGGGTGAACTGAAAGTGAGAGCGATCTCCTCGAGCATGAGCAATATGAGGCAGGAAAGAAATTAGGTGGGAAGATCTCAAAACAAGAAAAGCCACTCATGAACTGCTGTTATATTTTAAGATCGTTAATAATCTTTGTCCCAGTTTTTTGTTGATTTATTACCCTTACAAGTTAGTGAAACTGAACAAATTACTCCCTACGAATGGCATCATCTTCTCGCTAGCCACACTGAGCGTTTTAAAAGATCTGTTTTCCCTGTACTACTACCTTGTGGAATGACATTAGTATTGATATACGTTGTCTCAAATCCATTGGTTCTTTTAAACAAGCTTTATCTTCCTTTTACAATGTGCCTAGTTATAACGCTACTTATGATTTTGCTATTGATAGATTTAATGCAATTTTCCACGTTTTGTCACTTGTGCGCTTAACTATTATCTTTTTAAAATAGGTTGTACAGAAAGCCCCGTTTGTTTTTGTGGTTTCCACAGCAAGACAGTTAAGCATTTTTCTGTTTGGATCAGTGTTACTGTCTCCGGAGCAAAATAATGATTTATTTTCACTGTCAGAAGAACCACTTACTGTCTTCGCGAAACTAAGTTACGGGAAGAGATATTTTGCCACCGTGATCAGCTCTAAAACAATCGAAACTGAGAAAAGGAGGAATAACTTGACGGTCTATGCAGTGGAAAGAGTCTTTACAACCATGATACTTCCCAAGTTAGATTATTGCGATTTTCTTTGGAACACCTTAGCTCCTTCTAGATATAATTCTTTAGAACAAATTCAAACGAGGGCTGCAATAATTTTTCAGAAGGATAGCACTCTTAGTCACCATCAACTGTTACGCCAATTACGTTGGAAGTCCCTTACGGCGAGTTCTACTATGCACAATTTAACTTTTGTTTTGAAGTGTCTCCATGACATTGCTCCAGATCTTTTTAAGTGTTATTTTATTAAGTCTTCACACGTTTATTCCACTAGGTGTAATGGTTTAGATATTTTAATTCCTAAAGTCCGTACAGAATCTACCAAGAAAGGAACATTTTATACTGGTACCCAGGATTTCAATAACTTGCCAGCGCATCTATGACTCCATAGTGATTTTTAAAACACAGCTTAATGATATTATTTTTTAGATTTCTGGTAAATCTTTTGGAGTTTTTTAGAGTCTTAATTTATGTAGTTATATATTTCTTAATTTTTATCCACCAACATTGTACATAGTTTTTACATTTTTCTGATAGTCGATCTGTTATAGTTATTTTTTCCCTTTAATTGTTAGTTTTTTAGTTGCTTAGGGCACCCATTTATAACAGCTTCCGCTGACGGGTTTACCCTGGTTGAATGTGTTGTTGTTGTTGTTGTTGTTGTTGTTGTTGTTTTTATTATTATTATTATTATTATTATTATTATTATTATTATTATTAAAAGAAAAGAAAGAGGGGGATAGGTAACCTGATATGGATGTGCCCACACGCACATCCGTAAACAACAACAACAACAACAAAACAAAACAACGTAAAAAAATACATTAGAAAGGGCAACACCCGTTCGCTAGCCCGACCGGACCAGGAACCTATCCTGAGACGGGTTATAGGGAGTGGTTAAGATTTGCCTTCTGGTCACGGCAGGGGCAGGAAGGGAAAAAGGCCCAACCAAAAAACACAACAGCAAAAAAATGTGACATACAAACAAACTCTTTCCAAGGTCCAACACACCACGAGACTCTTTCTAAGTCCGAACTGACGACGAAAAACTTTGCCAAGTCGCGGGCTTCGGCGACGCGAAAAGAAACTCACTCAAAAATTATAACCCGGCTAAGAACGGCGTTACTTGGCAAAACAGACTGAAATCACAGGATAGCTGGCTTAAACAGGCTTCCACATGATTGTCTGTAATGCCCTGTGGGTGCCACGAGGATACCAGCATGGCACGCAGGCAAAATCCGTGGTTATTCTAACAGTGAAAATAGGTTAGGGAAATTGGGAAGTGCGACCGAGGGGGAGGCGCCATGTTGGTTTTCATCCAAATGGTGCTGAGGTTTGTTAAAATAGCGTGAATTCATCCCTTGAGAAACTCAACAACATTAGAGTAATACATTTTCTAACAGAAGGACTATTAGATGTCAAATTCTCCCCAAAATATAAGTCACATTTTTAAACTACACGACAGCTCTATCGGAAACCATAAAAATGCCGCGTCATGCAAAAGCCAAGAAATTCGTAACCTATCGCAAAACGAACAACCCAATCAAAGTGACAACATGTTAGAATATAGGTTTAAAGCTGCTCTATTACTTAAAGTAAAACGAATACAAGGAATCTCTTCTCTCTTATGTTGCAGAAAAAAAATTGTAGTAATAGATTTTACTGAAGAAAGAGAACGCAGTGATTAACAAACTAAATTAGTTCACGTACCTTCCACTTGTCAGACTTTAAAGTCGGTAGTATGTGACTGTTGATGAGATCTCTTGCACTCCAACTCTTGACACCCAGGCGGCGTAACAATTGTTCTACCTGACTGCGACCAATATCATCAAGTGAAGAAAACAAAGCTGGATGCACAGTGGACAGATCTCTCTCAAGAACACTAAAGTAAGTCTGCTCATTAGATTTTGCACCTAAAACGAAAGCAATGTAATAGTTAAATCTTATATTCTGAACAATGTAAAAGTAACTTGTTCATCATGAGTATTAACGAATAAGAAGCGATACAAAGGATTATATCCGCAGTAGGTCTTTTCCCCGTTTGTTAGTAAGGCTTATAGGGCCCCACACTCAACCTATAAAATTTCCCCATTTATTAAAAACCTTCAACGGTGTTCCTAGTTCTAAAACCCAGGAAGACTACCTACTTTTCTGTATCAAACACAAGAGCATACAAGACAAACGTGGCTGATAACGTGGACACTAGGTTGGATACCCAATAAACCTAGAAGAGTAATTGAAGAATACTTAACAAACACAAATTACAAGTTTTCTCCACTTACTAGAACTTTTCTTTTTCTTAGAGGCTGCTTCCCCTGCGAGCTTCATTGACAACGGCAGAAAAACACAATCTCCCTTAAGATCAACGAAAGTTCCATCTGTTAAGGGGATAACAGTAAGAGAACCGATCATATCCAACATGTCTTCACTGCTGTTTCGCTCCTGATCAAGACTTCTGTACATACACTGTAACCACTGAGCCAACCAAGCTATCTTCCCAACATCGGTTTTGCGTTCGCCGCCATCGGATATGGCCAAATCGCTGTTGAGGGAAAGTTTCTTCACCTCCTCCTTGCCGATTTCAATCAAGTGCTTGCTTGATAGCGTCTCAATTCCAAGTCGTGATCTTAGGGTTGGATTAAGGGCTGCTGATATACCTGGATGAAGGTACCGTAATCCCAAGTGTTCCTTGAGTTTAGAGGCACTGACAACTTGTTGTACTATAGGGTCATCACAAAAAATTGCCTCGCAAGGAAGGACCCACTCGTAGCTATTCTGTACATTCTGTGGTTGTTCGGCTTCTGGACTGGCCAATGTCGCTGGAATGCAGGGCTTGCCTTGAAGGAGAGTTAATATCTGCTTAGCGACAGGTGTGAAGAAACCTAAGATTTCTTCTTCAAGAGGTATAAATTGGAAGTATGTAGCCGCGCATGACAGTCTTGAAAAGGATGAGTGTTCCTGAAACAGAATAATAAAATCGATCCTGACTTTGCATTGTGTTGTGCTTATTTTTTTTTGTTTTATTTTATTGACTTTGCCAATATACTTCCGTGGGCCAGAAACAGGCCCATTCCTAAACACAAAGGGGACACCGGCGGATCTTTCGTTCCGCAGATGCTCGAAAAGTACCATGGATATTTTAATCTGCTTTTCCTTGAATAGACCTCTTGCACGTCGCGCGGAGACTAGGCACTGCACTGGACACGCTCGCCATCTTACACGGAATAGGTACGTCTTACGAACGCTGCGCGCACATGACGGTCAATAAAAGTTAACAAAACAACGGCTCAGAGAAGTTTATCAAGCAAAGAAAACGGATTACAGAGTCCAAGCACTACGTTCAGGATATTTATGTTATATTTCTTCGACGCTTTTATAGGTACCTGATAGCTTTATTTAAGGATTGCGATTACCTTTCAGTGCGCCCTTTTTTGGTTTTAACCGCTAGTTGAGCTTTCATTTTCAACTCAAGAACTGCTCCAGCAGGGCGCAACGTTTGAAACTTCTGTTGAAACTCCTAAAATGTTTCTTTGCCTTGCTCCGAGTCTTTTCTCTTTGAAGAAGTTAAAAAAGGTTTCATTCCATGAGGCTTCTCCGACTCCGACAAGGTCTTAACAAGCATAACAGTAAGCATAACCATCAGCTTGACTTGTTAAAGACCTTCAATTGTGGTCAAAAAGTGTTGAGAATTTTGCACTTTCTTACCCACTGAACGCCTATCCCGCGGGTATGGTACCGCTACGGCCCCTCCCTCATCAAAGTTGTTTAGTCGGGATCAAAAATGATCCAGCTGGACTTCAACATTGTTTTTTTGGGGGGAAGGGTGAGTATTTATGGTTGTCAGTGCTTTCAAAAGCTTTATCTTGAAACTAGACATGGTAACGTCCATTTTTCTCAGATTGTTGGTTTATAGTCTGGCCGCTTACTCTCCTCTTGCTCATGGGGCACTGGGCTCGTACTAGCCATTTTTGGGAATGGCTGTGCAAGTAACTTATGACGCTGTTTTTAAGGTGGTCGAAATCCCGTATGTTTCACTGCTTGTGTCCACGATGCTAAGAGAGCGTAGAAAAATACAAAACGAGCACGACCAAAAGTTCAGACAATCCTGGACAAAAAGACCCTGGGACATTCATGCCATTTGTTTTAGAATAACTTCCTAAAGCAGTGCTATTATTTATCAAATGCTTTGGGGTCCCACCCTTCCTCCCTGTACAATGTTGAATGTCTGGAAAAGACACAGGTTGAACCTTGTATGTAAGGTTGGGGAAGGGGATGGGCATGTGTAGTTTAAAAAAACTGCTCCATTGTACAAAATGCGGATCTCAGTTTTGGGCCCTATTCATAGACAAACGGTTGCTCGTAGATTGACGTAAACAAGTCTTGGCTGCGATAATCGAAATAAAGCGAAGGTCAGTGATGCAAAGGAGGGGATGGCGCAAGGAAGCGAAGTATCTTAAAGGCAGATTCAACAAACAAAAGGAAACAAGCCGATATTCCATTAGAAGAAAAATATAATTTGAGTACCTACCATAAAAATGGATAAAGCGTCAACAAAGAGTTGAGGAATCTCCTCTCTTAGCCACTGGTTCCAAGATTTATCTTTGTCAACGTCTTCCCTGGATGAAGGCACTTCAAAGTCACCTTGAATGATGAACCGAAACCCATAGCTTCGGAGCGGGAGATAAGCAAACACGTGCTGCTGCGGCAACTTCTGCAAAATGACACCAGATGTGACAGATAAATAGCCTAAAGCTCTTACATATTCTTAACAAGCACGTCGATTGCAAAAATAAAACTTATGTCTAGAAGTTGTTTATAACGAGAAAACGTATGTGCTGTCTAGACAAGATGATACTGTTAATGTCTTATACGTCTTAAATGATCACGCAAGTTTGAAATAGAACTGACCACTGCTTTCAAAGGAACTGCAATACTAACAGGTGTTAGCTGAATGAAGATTTAAATCAACTCATGATAAACTGTTTACTTCAAAACTATGATTTTTGAATAGCTTGGAAAATCACTGTTACCACCAGCCTTGTCAAGGTTGATCAGTATCAAGAATGGGATCAAATATACCTGGTGTCTTCTTCCTGAACTTAAGTTTTGCTCATCGAAAAGCGGAAAACCCAGAGCCAGCTCCGTCATCTCAACGTCTTCTTTCATCTGAAAACAAAATAAAAGAGGTCATGAACGACTAGCAATGAAGGATTCTTTCATTCGCACCACGAAAGCAATGGACCGTATGGACAAACATCGCAATACAGCCGGACAAAATGATAAGGAACTAAAGGAGCAAATAACTCAGCAAGGTTTGCGGGCTTCTTACATGTGATGCATCCAGCTGTTTCTTTAAAACTAACCAGCGGTCTGTACCACGACTGTGAGATATTTCCATAATGTTATCACTTAAATCTTTCCTAATCATATCACGGCAAATGTTGTTTACCTGTAAAAAAAAAAAAAAGAGGGAAATTGAACGTTGAAAATGATTCTTGTTATGTTCATGTCAATACTTTTTGAAATTTGCATTATTATCAAGTTATTACTCATGGCTGGCCCCTTGCGGTATACCGCCAATATTGTTAATACCTTGCTTACGGTCTACTGCCAATATTGTTATTACCTTGTCTTGTATGCTAATTGATCTCAAACGATGGAGAAAAAGCAGTAGTGATGGATGAACATCACGGAACCGAGCAGCTAATGAAGTCTTTTCTATCCCTTGATGCTGCTCTTTCAATGGAAGGACAATGCAAGTAGACCATCTGATTTCCGAAAAAAAAAAGAAAAGAAAAAACGAGGTAAACGAGATAAATGCGACTTTAACGAAAGAGGAGATTAAAATCAGTGTACCTGGCATACTCAGCTCTTGCAGCGTCAGTATCTTCATGGAGACTGCTGTCCGGTGTATTTTCATCTCTGTCATCACACGTCTGCTTTTCTTGGCATTCCTGTTCAATCCATTGCGGAAGTATGTATCCAATAGAACCACTCTTGGCGTCAAAACGAATGTGAAAACCATTGGAATGGATCTCTGGACAATCACTGACTCGAAATACTGATTTAAATCCGATGCCTTTTTGCCCTACGGAGAAACATTGAGGTTTTGGCTCGTTAAATTGCGTTTAGTTTAATAAAAAAAGTAGAGGCATCTTACCTCGTTAGAGACACGAGGAGAGCCGTAAGTTTTACAAACTGTGTGTTATTAAACCGATCAGAATACTTCTCTTTAAAACTTTTTATTTTAAGGATAAACTTAAGCTTTGGTATTTTTCCTTTCATATAAAAAAACAGCACACCTATGTATCCATAGCGATGAGCCCCTTTTGTACTTCTTCCAACATCACACAACGCTCGAATATTGTTCTCCACGAATCCAACTTCGTTGTTTAGGACCACGATCTTATCTCGCTCGAGAACAAATACAAGGGACGGGTATCCCGTATCAGAGATGTTTTCAGGATAGGAATTATCATCTGCATTTTGTACAAGCTCCAAAACAAAGTGTGTATCTCTTGAGTAAAGCTCTGTCGAGAGACGATGTAAACCACGCCCTTCTCGCTCCCTTTGTCGCTGGACAAGTTTGGATTCCTCCTCTCCAAGTTCAAGACCAATTCCAAACTCTTCTCGGCGAATCTGCTCGATTACTGCCCTGCACTCGTCTTCATTTTCAGTGCCAAGTGCAACAGATGGTGACTGTTCCGTGTCAACGTTCAAAGTTACAGCTAGAAAAATCAAAGCATTTTGAGTTTAGATATTGAGTAACTTGCGAAATTCTTAATCTATACTCGTAAAAGACCTTAAAACATTGGGTATAAAGTCATATGAACTCAAGAACATTACTGCGCAGCACAATATAAACAACTTCTAACTCCATCGTGGATAGACCCTCCTGACGGACTCTGTGTTTTCCGTTTACGTTAAGTGTTCACGTATGGATTAAACAATCGAACCTCCCGTTAGATTATTTTCATGTTTTTTCTTAGTTACAATGCAAGCAGTATCCTGTTATCCTCAAACGTGCCTGGCATACTCTGAGTTGTATTATACATACAGTTAACGTAGACCACATGTCAAAAGAGTAGATGCGGTTACTTAACTGTAATATTTTGATGTGTTATAAAGGCGGTCGTTTTCGACAGGTAGTTGTTAAACGGGGAGGTTCGACTGACCCTTACTTGAGCTAAGGAGGCAAAGAACAGTTGCACAGAAAGACATAAAAAAGAAAGACAATACATCTACACACCATCTTCTTCATCATCAACTTCAATGCTTGCTTCTTCGGAGTGAACTGTTATATCGTTAACATTTTCCAGGGCAGGTAGAGAATCCTGTGATGTTGTAAGAACAAAAACAGTACTTCAGTCCTGTACTTTATCATAAACTCCCTTTCACTTGGACGACAAAGAATCGTATTTTTTAGCCGAAATTGAAATTCTGGGCAATTTGGATTTTGACTCCCGGCTATATTTTTCTAATGGTACCGCTTTGTACTTGTTTCCAAATTAGTCGCTTGCAACACTGAGGGGATATAAATAGTACAGGTTGTAAAGGCAGTGAACGTGAGAGGAATCATGAAATGAGGATCTGTTGGACACCTTTTTTATCCTCTTACTAACCTCTGCTACAGGTAGCTGTAGCTGATTGGTCTGTTCAGTAGACGATGGTACAGGTTTCACCACAGCAATCGGCCTCTTTTGTTCTTGAACTTGACTGAAACCAACGTCTTCCCCAGAGACCTGTTCATGAAAATTTTCAATCCATTGACTTATGCCCAAAGCAAATCCCAGTTGATGAAGTCGGCTGCGCTGAATCTGGGTCGAACAGTTCGAAAGAAGAAGCAAAGGAGCCTCGGTTGAGCCAATTAACTTATTCAGGGGCTCATAAAAAACCTGAAAAAAAAAAATAGCACAAAAACGCCAGGTGACTTAAAAATTAAGTTACAAGGCAGATGAAGATCGAGAGGCTTTGAAGAGTTAGAGAGGCCACCGACGCACTTCCTTAGGTGAGAAAAAAAAATCTTGCACTCTAACCCTCTTGGTAACGGTCATTTCCCAGTAACAGTAAATAAAGAAATATGTTTAACTACTGGGTTGTGATAAAGAGTACGGTGTAATGTTCAGAAGGAGAGAATTGATGCGGCTGCTTTTTGTTCCAGCTAGAACTAAAATGAATCAAGAAACAACACGATGTCTTGTAAATATTTTTTAGATCCCCATAAGCAAATATGTTAAGACACGCTTTTTAATTACCCCTGCTTTCTTTATCCACTTACTTAAATAATATTATGTTGCTAAAGTTAGTAATAAATACTAAATGTATATTGCCTCACCTTCATTCCAACAGCCTGTGCTAGTCTGCGAGGCATGCGCACTAAACACCGGAGAACAAAATCACAGCAGCGATCATGGGACGTCATTGCTGCTAGTGCAGATTGCACGTGATTTGACAAGAGCGCAACAGGAGTGTTAGCAACACCACCATTCATCATCACCATAGAAACCAGATGACCAGCGGCTCCAACTGGATCACCACGACTTGCGCAGTCTCTGAAGATGTCAGTAGATGTCTTGGTAGTTACACGTAACAGTACTCCTGGTGAACTTTCCATCACAGCAAGAGCTGACCCATGGACGAGACCCGTGGATGACTTGCCAGCGTTTATAAGGATTTCTTCATTTTCCAAAAATGACTTTAAGTCACCAAGTTTGGACACATCACCGCCATACACTTCGTCCCAGTGAGTCCACAGCGCCACATCTTCCAACAGCGGAGTGCTTCTAATTGCAGCTATTGCGTCTTCTTTGCTCATATAACCAAGAACACTGCTGTTATGTTCCTCTGTACCAGCGCTAGCACCAGAGTCTTGACATATATAGGGTGCTTCATATACCACTAATGGAGTGGCTGATCGCGGCAAATCCTTCTTTCGATCTTTAGTTTTTTTCAGAATGTTTGAGAAGGAGCCCAACTCAAGATCTGTTACTTTGTTCATACCGTAGTAAGTGCAAAGACTCCTTTCGATGATCTCCTAAAAAAAAATCAGGAAAATAAAAACATAAAAGAAAAACTGCCCAGATCACAAATTATGCTACTCAGTGCTAAAAATTGATAGAGGAGCTATTTTTGACACGTTGAGGTTAAAAGGCAAAAGGTAAAAAAAAAAGTACTGCTCCAAATTTTTTATATGTCGGTAACTCGTAACAGTCCCCTGACAGACCATACGTCAACGGTGCGCTCATTAAAGCTACTTGAAGCTACACGAAAAGAAGCCATCCGTACAGAAGGCCACGCCCTAACCAACAGTGCTAATCCTTGTTATTGGGTATTTTACTTATCGTGTCTAAGTCTTTTAAGATTTTCCAGTTTTGATTGGATAAAACAAAAAAGATCCAAGCTTTATTGTCCCATGATACGTTCCATTACTCCCTCTCCCTTCAAACTTTGCATGAGAATTGTTTTAAATTCATGTTGGGATGTTTGAAAATCCCACGAGAAGTAATTCATGTACAACGTAACCATAACATTACAATATAAGATTTTCAGTTAAGACAGTTTAATGACGCCATACAATGATTTCTGTTCATCCCGCTGCCTCACGCAAATCTGATCAACACAGAGCACTATATCACCTATTCACAACCTTTTTCCATCCCCCTATGCATCTTTAATAATATTGCGCATATTACTTAGTCAAAATCTTACTAGGTTAAATGTAAACACAAATCTCTCGAAAATAATAACTTACATGTGAAGTTTGGGTTCCAAACTGAGATACAAAATCTAAAACACTGTGAAGCGACACTGGATGGCCAAACATTGTTCCTTTTCTTTCCGATCGACCAAACCCACTAACTTGCTCAGTGGCCTCTTGAAGCTCCTTATGTGATGATAAGAATTTCAGAAAAGAACCATAACCAAGCTCCTCGAAGCTGTTAAATTCTGGAAATTTGTTGACAACATTTCCTTCAATACGTGCCAGTCTCGTAAGGTCCAAGTGATCAGCTTTAGCCAGCCACTGTTTTACTTCTTCAACGACTTCGCCTTTTTCAAAAAAAAAATAAATAAATAAAAATGAACATCATTTTCAGCCCTTCAGTTAGACATCTCTATTTCGAACATGGTCCCACAAATGTCCAACACAAAGAAACATTCTTTTTGGCTTACTTAGCCCATTGGAGAGGTATAGTTTGAGGTACGTTGACCTGGCGTGGCAGGTAGTGAAGTAATCTAGGAGGCAGGGAGATAAAGAAAATGAAAGGTACCGAAAAAAATTAACTAAAAATTGACTTCTGATCTACAATGATTTAGTGAAACAGAAAGAGGTAATTAAGAGCGTTAAAAGTCGACCTCATGGTATCATCTTATATTCACTATCAAGCGAATGCGGAGCCGTAGCTAGCGGGGGGTAAGGGGGGCAGCTGCCCCACCCCCCGGACCTGTTGAGCCAGACAAATCAAGTCTGTGGATGGATTCGTTTTTCTTAGAACAAAGTTATTTTCATTATAGTGACTCTCAATTGTTTGCCATTTTCATATTCGAGGTCGATTTTTCGGTGACATCTCATGACAAGTGCCGAAAATAGCGTTTCTGAGCCTCCAAATTTGAAAATTTTCTGAGGGAGGATACTCCTAGAACCCCTCTACAAGGTTCGTCCCTTCGGCACTCGCGATAATGACCCCTAGCTATGGCCCTGGAATGTATCTTTAAAATTAACTATGGCTTATAAAGAAGAGTGGAAGTAAGCATACAGCAAATCAAATTACACTTTACGTAGAGTAAAGAAGAACAATTGAGTGCATTGTTTCATTACAGTAAAAAAGAGGGTAAAGAAATAGATTAATGACTAGGTAAAAAGATAAACTCAGCTATGACAAGAAAAATTTCACATTCAATACAACAGATACCAAACCTTCATACCAGTCCTAAAATCCTATTCGGGTGAGAAGGAAAGCAATTCTTTTTGTTGTGGCGCAACACGCTTTCCTCACATAGAAATGTTTTCCATTTTTACGCAGAAAATGCATAAACCTACCAAAAGGCAGTTTACAAAATAAAATGTATTTAAACTCCACTTTTGTGGGTGTTTTTTGTGTTAAAAGATTTCGACCAATCATAAGAGTTAGAAACAACAGCCAAGAAAAGTTTGCAATTTTACATGTTCCGCACATAGGATTTCTGTGCTACTTAGACTTAGACGAGATTTTGTTAGAAAGAAGTTAAATAGAAAAAAAGGGATTACTAAACATGCTGCTTTGCGAAGATTTCGTAAAATTTGTTGTTTAAACCAATCAGAACCATTGTAGAGACAGTGAGTAAAGTTACCACCTTTTTGCATTCCGAAGTGCTCATTGCGTTTTGGCTTTTGCCTTCTTATCTGGACCATTACTGAAATAATACTGAGATTAGACTGTACTAAAAACATTACCAAATAGAGCCTATTTAAATTATATCGCAACTGTTTAGATTCAATAGGTTAACTTTAACTACAACTTAACAATCTAAAATCTACAAGAAGTGCGCTTCTTATACGTAACGAGGCAAAAGCCGATTCACAGCACAATAATTCTTCACCTATAACATTCAAAGTTTTGCCAGTTTTTGGGTGCTACGAGTTCTTTGCTTCATAATGATCAAGGTTCAATTCAACAAACCTTCACTGGGAGGGGTGGGTGGTTCATTGAGGCATTCAACCACAGCGCTGGCGACTTGTTTCTGTACTTCATTTGCCACTAGTTGTTCAAAAGTATCACCAAGGAGATGCTTGCAGCTCATAGCAAGAGCCAGCTGAAATAACTGCCTTCCCAAGGAATCTTTTGTGATGGTGGTTAAGAATTCTGAAATTTTTTTCTGGTGTTTGATTGAAAATAGTTGCATGGAGCATTGAAATATCTCATTAAGGGCGTCAACAGGAGACACATCAAGAAATTTCATCACACAGCTCCTCAGATCACCAAGTTCCTGTCCTAAAAGATCCTTTTGGATTTTTCGCATGTTTCTCTTGATCTCCTTATCCATTTCCAGTAAGACCTCTTCTCTGATAGTCTTCCATCTTTCGCTCTCACTTTTTTTGGCACTTTTTATCACCTATCAGCAAAAGAAGCAAAACCACTATGTAGCAATTTTAACATCTATTACAAATACGAAAATTAAAAGTAACGTTATTCGACGTTTCGATGTATCCAACATCATTATCAAGACTGAAAAAACGTTAAGTGTTCAAGTGTTTGAACACATCGGAAACGTCGAATAACGTTACTTTTAATTTTTCTTGTTGAATTCTCTAAAAAGTAACGACTACTTGCCTACAGAACGCTTAGTATGTGAGTACATATAAACGTTTTTATTTACGCGCTATGGCTTAAACTGACAGGACCTGATCAATTGAGAAAAAACTGTAAACCCGACAGTTTTCTATGAAAAAGTTCCTTTTCTAAAAACAAAAAGCTACAAGAGGCAAAAAAAAAACTCCATTACGCGTGGCATTTTCGACTTGCTTCTTGGTTTTGCTATGTGATATTAAATAAATTAAGCAGTATGTTTTGAGTTGGTTTGATAAATTACGGTCTTAACATACCGAAATTGCCAATCCAACACTCTGTATTCGGACCCCGAGTTCATATGGAGTATCACAGTCATACTGTTCACATAGATAATCAAGAAAAAGTTTCAAATCCACTTTCTTGCGCCACAAATCCTCTTGAGTCATGTACTTCTCCAAATGTTTTAGGATCTGAATGGTTGTTATGTTAGGCAAAGATGGAAGGTCTGATGGAGGCTTGAACATGTCATACACCACAGGCTGCTGTAACAGGGGGCCCAACTTTAGTTCATCAAAGTCTGACTTGGATCCTAAGTCTGCAAGGCTCTGGTTCAGTTCGTGAAGTGTGCAGATACTGTTTGTCATCACGTAGGCATGAACAAACAAGCTTACCTTAGTTAAAAAAAGGAAGTTCAAGTTAACTGAGTATGTGGCTATCAAAGTTACAGTCGGCCTCAGGTTTGTTAGTCAACTATTTCAAGCTACTGATATTTACCACTTATGGAAATAAGACCATGTCTAACTGTAGTTGGCTTTAAGGCGAGTAATTTATGCAGGGTTAAATTTTCCACAACATGCATTGCTTAATCTATCACTTCTTCTCAAATCAACCACTGTGTTCCCAGGTATGGGCACAATCTTTCATGAATAGGTGTTTTTCCCAAATGCACAACTGTTTATAACGTGCACCTCTCTAGCATGCAGTTGTTAACCTCATTCCCATGGGTCTCTTGCTCTCCTACTACTAGAACCCTGGGAACGAATTTGAGCAGTTACTCACTTTAGCTTGCAATTGGATAAGTTCATGAAGGGCAGGAATAGCATTGTCTTTTCGAAATCCAAATGCTCTGAAATTCGACTTTCCAAATTCCTTGCAGAGTCTGGCTTTTACCTCCTCAAGGGAAACAAATTTACCCTCTTCTGACAAAGAGGTAATGATATCCTCTGCTGCTTTGTTAACTTCTTGAAGAGAACAGTCAGTCCTACTAGTTTTTGGCGTAATTGTACCAGTTATCTGCTGGGCGTGGTTAATTGACTTTTCAAAAGGACCAGGTGTGCCGACCTTCCTAACCCTTGAAGGATTGGGCTGTGGAGAGGGGAGAACTGGTGTTCCTTTTCTTTGTGTGCTCTTCTCATTAAGTAACCTTTCATATCCGATAGGAGGCACATCTAGGCCTTCGTTTGTAGAAATTTCTCTCTGCTGCTGATCCATAATTTCAAGGAGAGAAGGAACTGGCTTTGCTGTTGCCCCTATAACAATTGGTGGTACTCTTTCAATAAAACTTGCTGTTCCTAAAGAAGTTGAAAAATAATTTATAATAAAAATAANCCACTTATGGAAATAAGACCATGTCTAACTGTAGTTGGCTTTAAGGCGAGTAATTTATGCAGGGTTAAATTTTCCACAACATGCATTGCTTAATCTATCACTTCTTCTCAAATCAACCACTGTGTTCCCAGGTATGGGCACAATCTTTCATGAATAGGTGTTTTTCCCAAATGCACAACTGTTTATAACGTGCACCTCTCTAGCATGCAGTTGTTAACCTCATTCCCATGGGTCTCTTGCTCTCCTACTACTAGAACCCTGGGAACGAATTTGAGCAGTTACTCACTTTAGCTTGCAATTGGATAAGTTCATGAAGGGCAGGAATAGCATTGTCTTTTCGAAATCCAAATGCTCTGAAATTCGACTTTCCAAATTCCTTGCAGAGTCTGGCTTTTACCTCCTCAAGGGAAACAAATCTACCCTCTTCTGACAAAGAGGTAATGATATCCTCTGCTGCTTTGTTAACTTCTTGAAGAGAACAGTCAGTCCTACTAGTTTTTGGCGTAATTGTACCAGTTATCTGCTGGGCGTGGTTAATTGACTTTTCAAAAGGACCAGGTGTGCCGACCTTCCTAACCCTTGAAGGATTGGGCTGTGGAGAGGGGAGAACTGGTGTTCCTTTTCTTTGTGTGCTCTTCTCATTAAGTAACCTTTCATATCCGATAGGAGGCACATCTAGGCCTTCGTTTGTAGAAATTTCTCTCTGCTGCTGATCCATAATTTCAAGGAGAGAAGGAACTGGCTTTGCTGTTGCCCCTATAACAATTGGTGGTACTCTTTCAATAAAACTTGCTGTTCCTAAAGAAGTTGAAAAATAATTTATAATAAAAATAATAGGTGAATTCTCTTGTAAGGACTAGTATTGATGTTGTTTATGATAAACAATGTTACGCTTTTCAGTTGTTACAATTGACTGCACAAAACTGTCCCTTTCTGGTGAATACTCAGTCTCCTGATTGACGATAATCATTTCTAGATTTAAAAATTGTACTTGAGCGGTGAAATTAAATTTCTTTTAGAGTGGTTCCAATATAAAACAAATACCATCCATACTCAAACACTTTCATATCCATGTCAAAAATAAAATACATGAACTTGAATTTTGACCTTTTTAACATTCTAGACCCAATGTAAATTAATTTTGTTAATGTTGGGCATTTCCTCTATTTAGATATAGCACCTTTATTATCCTCAGTTCAAAATGAATCTCTTGGTCCTTATTATTCTTGATCAAGAATAACTAGGAATATAGTTAGGAATCAAAGAAAACTGAGAATGAATTCAAAGTAAGGCTAGGTGGAATTAAATCATTTGAGCCCAAATTTCACTTTGAGCAACAACAGAGACTTGAAACTTGTCAACTTACAAAGTGGCTCCAGTTAAAGTCAAATAAATTAAGTGTATTATTAAACCTAGTATCATTTTGCAGTTTACCATTCAGTTGAGTTGGCAGTGGCAATGGAAGCAGATTTGACACTTTACATGCAGCAGCAGAAATAGATGACAGTGCAGGTTTCTGTGGTGTTAAAACCAATATAGTGTCTCCTAAGGATGGCTCATTTTCAACAGGCCCCCCAAGCCCCTCCCCTGGATCTGCCACTGATAGAGGCTTCAGTATTTTTAAGACCCTGGCTGCCTGGCATATAGCCACAGGGTTTAAAATAACTTTAGATAAGTATGCATGAATTAATATAGTTCAGTACTGTACTGACCTTGAAATGATGCTGAGGGAAAAGGTGACAGGGGAGGGCTATGAGTTGTGTAAACTGATGAAATACTTTGTTCTGCAATATCTGTACTTGAAACTGAAGTTACATGTCCTGGTGACATCGAGCTATCCTCCACCTTATCTTTCAGCATTATCTTAATTATATCTGATTGTTCCAGTACAGTAACAGAATCTAGGCATTTCATGACATCTTTAAGCTTTTTTGATTTCAGCTGCCTGTAGTGTGCGTCAAAGTTCTTCCCAAAAGTTTTCTTGTAAACCTGTTTAAATAAATGGAGCTCCAGCCATTGTCCCTCGCAGGACTTGAGTATCCTGGTGACCTGTTCATTCAGCTCTGTTAACTTCTTGGTTGAGAGCCGGGAAGAAGAACCACTTTCCATTATTGAAAACACTCGAGCGAAGGGCTTTCAAATTGAGTATTGTTTTAAGATACTCAAAGTCTATGTTAATTCAACTGTGTATAATAAGAAAACATTTCCGCCATCCATGGTCATGTCGCTTGAGTCAGCTTGAGTAAAAGCTGACAAATCATAAGCGAACATTGTCAAACAATACCGGCAAGAACATGGCCGCATTTACAGACTGTGTCATAATTTATATCAATAAATGCAATGGCTATTTCCGCGTTGCCCAATGCTTAACCAATGACAACCTTGACTTCTGTCACATCTCTTGTTTTGACCTCTTCCAAGAATTCTATTTTGAGCCCAGTTTGATTTCCGAGAAGTAAGATTTTGACCAGGCGTTCCAATTTCCTTGTTCCTAGTCTCCCATCATCCCAATACACCCATCGCTCTTTGCGATATCTAAAATGGCGGACAGACCAAGTGCGCTGCCCGTGTAAATTCATCAATTCGTCTTTTCTGTGGTCTTTTCTAACAGTGAAGTTGTAGGAAAATGACGGACAGTGAAGATGAACTTCCCCCAGAGAGGGAGGTTAAGGTAAATCGCACTTCTGTTCGTGGCAATTCCTAACTTATTTTTTAACCTAGTCAAATCCAACTGCGCACAGTCCCCCGCCCGGGCCTACATAACGCTTGAGCTGCCAAATGTCCAGCAGTGGAGACGAATTTTACTGAGCTGAGACCCCCAAACACCCAATCAGCTGTGGATGGATAAACAAAAAGGAATAAGAATGTCTGCTGCTGATCCATAATTTCAAGGAGAGAAGGAACTGGCTTTGCTGTTGCCCCTATAACAATTGGTGGTACTCTTTCAATAAAACTTGCTGTTCCTAAAGAAGTTGAAAAATAATTTATAATAAAAATAAAAGATGAATTCTCTTGTTAGGACTGGTATTGATGTTGTTTATGATAAACAATGTTACGCTTTTCAGTTGTTACAATTGACTGCACAAAGCTGTCCCTTTCTGGTGAATACTTAGTCTCCTGATTAACGATAATCATTTCTAAACAATTTAAAAATTGTACTTGAGTGGTGAAATTAAATTTCTTTTAGAGTGGTTCCGATATAAAACAAATACCATGCATACTCAAACACTTTCATATCCATGTCAAAAATAAAATACATGAACTTGAATTTTGACCTTTTTAACATTCTAGACCCAATGCAAATTAATTTTGTTAATGTTGGGCATTTCCTCTATTTAGATATAGCACCTTTATTATCCTCAGTTCAAAATGAATCTCTTGGTCCTTATTATTCGTGATCAAGAATAACTAGGAATATAGTTAGGAATCAAAGGAAACTTTGACTAGGTGGAATTAAATCATCTGAGCCTAAATTTCACTTTTCAGCAACAACAGAGACTTGAAACTTGTCAACTTACAAAGTGGCTCCAGTTAAAGTCAAATAAATTAAGTGTATTATTAAACCTAGTATTATTTTGCAGTTTACCATTCAGTTGAGTTGGCAGTGGCAATGGAAGCAGATTCGACACTTTACATGCAGCAGCAGAAATAGGTGACAGTGCAGGTTTCTGTGGTGTTAAAACCAATGTAGTGTCTCCTAAGGATGGCTCATTTTCAACAGCTGCGGCAGACTCATTTAAGTTATCTGACACACTCTGCGAAGACTCTGCTGAATCTGACCTCTTCTCTGCCTGATTTCTCAGTTTTATGTTTATTTTCTTTCCAACTTGTTCTAGGAAAATCACATCATCTAATGCTGACTTGACCTTCTCCAGCTTTTTTGGTGTCAAAAATCTCTTACCAAAAGTGTCCCTATATACTTTTTTAAACTGCTGAAGCTCAAGACATTTTCCATCACAGGACTCCAGTATCCTGGTGGCATTTTCCTTTATCTCTGTCAACTTTTTGTCTGAGAGCAAACCAGTTGCTATACTGGTATTGTGAACTGATGTTTTGCCAACTGCTGCTTCAGCACTGAGATGTGGAGAAGAGATAACAGGTGTTCCTGTGTTTGCTGTACTCATCTCATTCAGTAATCTTTCATACCCAACAAGAGGCAGTGATGGACCTTGATTTGAGTACTTTTCTGTTTGAAAAGGATCTGTCTGCCCAATTTCACTTACAAGTACTCTTGTCACTTTTGGTGATGTTACATGCATATCTCCACATCCACTACCTAAAATAATTACAAACAGCACAAAGTAACAGTAATGTAAAAATAACGGCAGGTAAGGCTCTTAACAAAAAAGACAAAAAACAGACATCTTACTTTCCAATCATTAAAGGAGCTGTGTCACGAAATTCAGCCAAATTAGGAAATTACAAAATGCCCGTTAAATCAAGAGAAACATAAAAATATCTGCTTAAAACTTTAAAGGAAGGTTAAAATAACATAACAGAAACAACAGATGGCATGGATGGGCAAAACTGAAGAAGATTGAAATGGATTGAAATTAGGGTTTTTGAAAACTGTTCAGCCTAACAGTTTTTCAAAGTTGGTCCCTGCCACTTGCAACTTCAAAAATAATGCTCAGGAGACATATTATTTGTTTGTCTCGGATCTCTGATTTTGTCATTTACCTGTAATTTCTTTGCTTACTTTAAGTTACATAGTGATTGGGGGGGGGGAGTAATTGGCAAAATTAAACAAAATGAACTGGACTTCCGTGACACAGCCCCTTGATCATCATTTGCAAAGATTGGTGACTATAGCTAGAAGAAATGACTTCCATTGTATGGGTGAACAAGGTACAGTAGGAGTAACAGTTAATGAAATTGCAACCAGTGTTCGTTTTCAGTGACCTTTTTTTAGAGGAGTCCAAGGAGATAGAGAAGGAAGTGATGGGTTCCATGACTTGTATTCATCAAGAAACAATAATAGAATCAATCTCAGAAGCACTCATTAATTTCAGTATTCAAGTAAATTGAACTGCATTTCCCTCCTAGTGTTGCTGTTTAGTTTAGTAGCAGCTCAGTTGATTTTGTGCTGGCCTGCTGTAGTGTATGATTAAAGGCAACAAGAGACAAATCATCAACTTAAAGCATTTAAAATGTGCTTTGGCTAGACGCAGTGCCGGATCCAGACCTTGAGATAAGGGGGGGAGGTCATCCAGACCCTTAGAAAAGAGGGGTGCCCACGCAGTCTCCAAAAAAATCAGTTTGGTCAAAATAAAAGGGTGGGGCATTACGGAACGGCGCCTGTAGATCCGTGTCGCCCTCAAAATCGCGGGTCCCATGACTATTTGCGTGCTCCCAAAGGAAGCCGACGCATGTCGCGTCCTTTGATTCAAGACGTAAGTGTTAGGGTATTGTTTCCACGATACAAAGGTAATTTAACTTAAGAAAATCTATGAATCGAAGCTTTCGCGCTACTCTCTGTTTTATAAGGAAAACAAACGCTCAACTTCATAAATATTTTGACTTCATAAGATATTTTAACGATTTAGGCCAGCAGAATGTATAGAATTCCAGAAAAACAATTCAGGAAGCCGAACAGTTTTGAACTGCGCTAGATGTTGTTTTTATCAGTATGCAAATCACCTACCCAATCACTTACTTTCCATCGAACTGAAATATCCTGACTTTTTTTACCACTTTTCGATTTGATTCGTTTCATTTTATATTATTTTGTGCAAGCTGAGCTCTTTCATGCGAATTTACGCTTTCAAAAGGAAAAAACTTCGAGGAAACGTTGTGTTTACAACCACGGCAATTTGTATCTATTTCGCTTCACTTACGCTTATATGCAAATTTCTGTTCATACGCCGGATTTTGCTGGAGACAAAAATATCGATTTTGAATTCCCACATGCTTGCCTTTTGGGGCACCCTTTTTATTTTGGCTATCAAGATTTTAAAAGCCAAGCTTCAGACTTTTCATTCCAACGTTCTAACGCGGGAAAGTTAGGAGAAATGCTGCAACTGATTTAAGTCACGCAACGCGCTTTAAGACTGCATAACTTGATCTTTCTGTTGTCTTTTGTTCTTCTATTGTCTCCAAAACAATAACGATGTTTCACCAATTTCCACCTACAAATAATAGGACACATTTGATTGACAGAAAAATTTGCATTTACTAGCGACGCGTTTCTAAAGGCGCGATTCCGTAATGGGGGGGGGGGGGG